GTTTGGTGTCAAATACTTATTTATTTGTTGAACAATTTGTGAATAAACAGTGCTTAAAATAATATGATCATTGTAATTAATTCATTCTTGGGTCCATAAATTAAATTGTTGATTAAAATCTTCATGCTCAATACATTGATGTATTGTATCTATAACTTGTAACAATGATGATGAGCTACTTATAGCAGTTTTAATAATATGATTAAGCTCTTCAACTCTCTGAGTTGATTGCATTCTTCTATTAAAAATTTTAAATGTATAAGTACATGCTCATGATTCTTTAATTGAAAATAGTTTTTGTAAATATGAAGACACAGTTGGATATTCATCTATAAGGTTTTTGAATCGTATTTCAAATATACTTTCGCTCAAGCTATTACACGTCATATAAAAGTCTTTAATAAAGTTTGCATACTTTTTACCAAGTTTGCCTTGAAGGTTTTTTAAAATATTTTGACCAAAATAGTATAAGCAAAATAAGTGCTTTGTATTAGGAAGATCATGAGCCACAATATACTTTATAGAAAGGTCTTTGTCTGTTATTAAAACCTTCGGAAAAATACTAGTTGCCTTTTCTAATTGTTTCATAACCTACCAGAAAGATTCAATAGTTTCATCAGGCATTAAAGCCTGTGCAGCAATTTGGGTTTTATTGTAATTATTAATTAAAACAAACAAGTATAAAAAAAAATTATAGTGATTTGTTTGAGCTGTATTGTTCTGAATTATTACATTACAAAATCTAATCTACTTTTCTCTTTGACTCGGGTCTATCCAAAAAACTTCATGAAGACGATTACTAACAGGATCTATTAATGGCTTAATATACCAATTAGAATCTATCTCCTTATATTCATAAAGCTGCATTAAAAGTCGTGACGTATCATTTCTTTTTACACTATGTTCTCGCCATAATTGAGCAACAATATTAGCAAGATCACGTATTAGAAAAAGTTGATTAGGATATTTGGCGGTTATAAAAGACCTTATTGTTGATAGATCACATCGGCTATTTATAACTAAGTGACAAATTTTATCATGATAATCATCAGAAAACTGGTGATTTATGAGAGCAAAAATATTGGTGTCTGGTGAAAGCTGATGCTCAGTATAGTGATTATTAAAACTAGTAATACGAACCAAACCCGTTGCTGATAACAAGTTAATTTTCCAATCACAATTAAGTTTCTTAGAATCTTTATTGTGTTGGTTTTGTAAATGGTTTGTTTTTTTTAGCTTGTACATGCCACCAAATTCATACTTGTAATATAAATTCATTAAATGTCCATTATTGTCAATTTTATTATGTATCTTAATTGCCATGAATTCTTTTTGATGGCCATATTGAGTAACATAATGCTCAGCAATATACCAGTTAGGGAAAGTATCATTAATAGTGAATACAATTTTTTT